TCCCCACCCCCCATGAACTACAACCACAGTCAATCCTGCAGCAGAGGAGATAACTAAGTGGCAGGATTTGCTGTCACTCCATCGGGTCCAAGAAATGTTTGTCCATCGAGTTGACCATATCCTTCGTCGTCTGGGATTTACATAAATAATTTCAGTTTTCACAAAATAATGTGGGACGACCACAAGTTCTGGACTTTGTCAAATAGCACACCATTAATTTAAGTACAAGTTTAAGGATAATTTTGAAAATTTTATACACTCACCCAAGTGACCTGCTCATTTATACTGGGAGCAGCATTGGATGTGCTCTTTGTCTTGAGATTAGTCATGAATTTCGGGGTTTCTTTCGTTCCGCCGCAGTTTCTCAGAGCGTCTGTGTGTGTGTGTTTTCCATGGGAGTAAAAGTAAGAGTGATGAATTCAACCCAATTCGCAGAAGATCTCTTGGAGCATCCCAAGCACAACAATTAGCCGTGCCATGAGAATTAGAAGGGAGTGAATGCATCTCCTCGAAAATTCACATTAAATAGCAATCAAAGAGCTTCGAAAAAGCCCCCCGAAATATTATTTAAAATGCAGTGATGATTTATAGCTCAACTGTAGCGCAATAATTTTCACATTGGACGATGCGCGATTTTCAGAGATCTCTTGATGAATTATAGAGGGCAATTAAGTGCCAAAAATGGTTGAGGCCTCAGAATAAATTCACTTATAATAGGAGGTTCTTCGTTTGGACTCTTGCGTCTAATGAAGCCAAAGTCAGCAGATCTTTTTTAATATTTCACCATTAAAATGTTAATGTGTGTGCGTGTGTTTTAAATTGCCACCAACGCACAAGAGTCCATCAAATAAATTACCACTCGGGCGCTTTTGTAGCTTCGCCTGTGTGAATGGAAAATGATCATGAGAGTGACAATTGAAATTATTATTATTAATTAATTAATTAAAGTGGGACATTTTATATTTGGACTTGTGTGGGCCACACAGAAGATGACTCTCAGTCTAGACAATGTGGCGGGGCGCGAGAAAGGGGCAAAGAGAGGGGGGTTTTTCCTTAAGAATTAAGTGGCCTTTTGAGTTGCTCCCTTTTTTGCACTCACTTCTTTGTCAATATCAACGAGGGGGAGTTTTGCTTCTTTGAGGGTGGTTTTCTCTCTCATTCAGACTTAAGTACATTTTCCGATGTCTGTGTAATTATGTGGTAATTAGAAAAGCCGAGGGTACACAACTTACAGTCTTTCTCAACAGATATCTTTCACAGAAATGGAGTCTCTGGTTGGAAAACAGCAAAGGAATGATGTCACATTAATCTCACAAAACACCACCTTATTGATTATTACAATTGATTATAGTAAAATTTGTAATGATACTGAGAATGCCCAGAAAGCAGACATATTAATTTTAAAATAATGCACTTCATTGAGTGCACAACCCCTCGGCAATTACACCCACCCATGGCTTGAAAGTCTTGTCTATAATATTTATTAGTCTGACTCATAGAGTTGCGGTTGGGGGGCGTTTTGTTGCAAAAATGTATAAATCGCAACTCTTGCAGAGCAAATTGAGCGGCCCAGAGGAAATACTTAATGCCCCACTCATAATTTGCCACTGTGTGGATGTTTGGCAAAATTGTGACAATTGCCGAGAATTTTAATGGTAATTTCCCGCGAAGAGGTGAAAGCCAGACTTGCCACCACTCGTCATTTACACCTCATCCCATCGCACACAGTGTGCCCACCTTGAAATTAACGGGCGTGTTTATGCATACGAAAATTAGCTTTGAACACTGAAAAGGGGTGGAAAAGGCTGATGGAAAATTCATCAGTCGCACCCTCGCCAGTTCCCAGGAAGTTTAAATGGCGCGGCCAAGTCTTGCAAGCGGAGCACTTTTTACACACTGGGGCGAATGGGTTTCAAGAAGTCCTACATGAGACGTGATATGGTCAAAGAAGTGCCAAATCCTGCAACACCTCTTCAAATGTCCAAATCGCACTTGATGTATTACAGGGAAACCACACACCCGTCCGACCCCCTGTGGCGCTTGTGGGGGGAGTGGAATTGAGGGGTTGAAAACAAGCTCCACTATGTGAGCACTTATGTACAAACTGACCACTATTAATACTCAAAATGTAACTGAGAACGTGCGGAGGCAAACAGTGCTGGAGTCTGTTTGGTTTGGCAGTCAACCGCACTCTGGGTGAGAGTCGCCTCTTGGCCTCCTAGAAATTGCCATCCAGCCACCCCTAAAGGTGCCATAAGGGTGTGCTAGACTGCCCAGTACACATCGTCTTCAATCGTTGTGCATTTGAATAAAAGAAATGCTCCAAAATATGCGGTGTCGACTGTTCAAATTCAGCGCGGCCAAGTCACTCCGCCGACCCAAGAGGCCAAGGGAGTGTAATTGTTGATGGTAATAATTACATGGTAGCAATATTAGCACAAAATGTTGGGGCTATTTTAAGTTTTAGTAGCAAGTCAAGCGTGATAAATTGTCCTTTAGACATTGCTCCCCCACACACCATGTCTCACTCTCTCTCAGGGTGCCGAAAATGTCACATGCGACCCATACCACCCCCCGAAATAGTTTCACACGTCTCTCGTGCACCCCCCCACACGCCCCACCTCAGCGGCACAGGATTAACTAACATGGGAAGGAAGATTGTGTGGCGATCCTGCTTTTTGGGATGCGAGACAGCGTGAAATTAGGTGGGTGCTCTCGCAGGCCCCCCAATTTGCTATCCCGCGTGGCGAATGCAAATGAGAACTTCCCCAGACACTCGATGGCCTGGCCATATTTCATCCCCGGACATGATTTGACAATTAAGAGAGAGAGGCTAATGAGATTGATTGAAAGTGAATTTTTTTTCAATCACTCTGCAACTTGCTGCTTTGTTGCTCAAACGCATCATTTCCTGACTCAATTACGGGCGCCATTATGGCTCATTGATAGACAAAACCTTCTCCATTAGAGAATATGTTCGAAACAGGTTGGTTTTTACGGTGGCAGATTGTAAAGCCCACCTTTTAAGAGACCGAAAGACAATTCCAGTGAAGCGAATATTTAGGTGGAGCACTCAACTAATGATAATTCTGCGTGTAATTTGATTAAATATAATTGTTATCAAGTTTTTTTACCAAAAAAACAGCTTAAAATATGAAATTTTAAAGTAACTTGCTGCAATTTTTCAATGTTTTTAATGTTTAAGAAATCATTTAATGCAATACCTTAACTCGACACTTTCCTATACACGCGTCAACCCTTCCCAAGAACCCCCACAAAACACCCGCATCGCAAGGAGTATGGAGCATCTCCCAGTCTCCAGTCCATCTCCTGATATATTTCCCTCTGCCAGAGGAACTCCTTGGCAAATTCGTCTTGCTGATAAATTGCTAGAAATTTCAAAAGGTCTGCGGACGGAGTCCCGGAAATTCTCGGACAGTGAGAGGGATGAACTGTCCAGTTATAAATTTATATTAACTCTCACATCGACAAGTTAGAGGCCTTGGACCGCCCATTAAGACAAGGACTGATGCCGACGGTGTGTATTAATTGAGCTCCATCTATTAAATTATTCTCTATTGTGGTGCGTTTCACAAGTATGACTTGTGTCCATCATCTTAGCTGTGTGTTGGCGAGGGGGTGGCGACGCCCGGGTGGACGGGCTAAGTGGTGAGTAAAACTTTCCACACCCCAACCCTTTCCGTCGCCAGGGCGAGTGTGTATGATATTATAATAACAACGTCTATAATATTGAAAGACGAAGAAGACTCTGAGCACAGCCTTCAAATGGTGGTCAGTTGTGCCCCTCCTCGTCCCGCACTTCCGCCCCAACGACAGGGGCGCTGCCCGGTGTGGGACGAAGAGGAACTTTGCCTGGCGCTCTTTCTCTCTCTCAACATAATGAGATCATAAAGTTTGTCTAATCAATAATGGAGGAGAACAAGTAAGACGGAACTAAAACTAACTAACACCGCTGGTCATCCTTCCGTTTGTCTTCTAATAATACTCCACCCCCGTCCACCCCCTGGGCGGCTCTGGGGCATGGTCAAGAGATGTGCAAGTCCGGAACTCAACTCAACTCATTAGAATCTCTTGGAGCAAAAGGCGGAAGATTCTGGTCTGCTCTCACCTCCCAAGGGAATCAGTGGCATGGGCGCCGGGCGGGAAAACATGAGTGGGTGGACAATGGTCAGCGTAAAATAACAGACCATCACCCAAAAGCTCTACCCAGCCCCATCCCTGGGCGGCTGCTGGCCCACCCTGCGTCTTAAATGTAGGACGAAAGGCATTGTTGTTGATGTTGCGGGCTAGTTTGCTGTTATTACAAGAGAAACCCATGGGTTTACCGTCCATCCATCAATGTGTGGCTTTGCTCTTATTTAATACACATAGTCCGATATTACATAAAAGTACATGTTATGAGAAACATCACCAATATTGTAAGTGGACGATGGCAGAGTTTAAAGTTTCCTCCGCTTCCGCCTCAATCTTCGCCTGGCTATATACAGTGTTTCCCAATGCCAGAAGGATGTTTATGAACGCTATATTAGTTGCAAAGTTTCCATACACCCCAAAAAGCCCCAAAATGCAACCAAAGAAGTTGATGGAAATTTTCTCTATCACACACTCAAGTGATGGAAATTTCATTTAGAAATTGCCCTTCATTTAGCAATATTTGGGGAAAATTCCGAGAAATCATCGCCACTCAAGAAGCATAAGTCTTGCAACACTGTCATCTTCAATTGCAGCCCGTAAATCTTGCATTTCACTCCTTATAATTCCCATTATCACATCATTTGACTTTTTTCGTGTTGCGCCATCGCGTTTCTCCGGGGTTCAAGAATTAATTGGCACATGCAAATACGGGTCCGCAGGGCAAAAAGTATCACCCCGCGATAAATTCTGATCACGCACTTTGGCAGAAATTAATGATCAATCATATTTTCGGCAAATATGATTAATTTTGGCAAGTTCGCGCGCGCACGAGGAAAAAAGCTCACCTCTGATTTCAGATTGATTGGCTGCTGCTGCTGCTGCATTGTTGGCGATGATGATGTGGATGACGGCGTCATGATGCTGTTGGCGGACTGAATGGACTCCAGCTCGCGCTTGATGACACCCAGTGTGGGTCCGGACGATGATTCACAGGGCATTACAGTGCCCCCGAGCATTGCAATGGGCTCACCACTGCCGTTGCTATTCTCAGCCGCGTCCTCGCAACCCTCAGCCATATCAGACTCGCATCCCGACTCGTCTGCAAAGACATGAGAGAGACCTTATTAATCTCAGAGGCGTCAAATGCACGAAACCCGATACTTATGGCAATATCGATGAACATGGGGTTGATTTGCAGTCATAATCAGAAAGGAATGACAGAGAAAAAAATCCCACCAAGAGAGATGAATTTCAGCGATAAAACACATTAAAAATAAGGGAGGAAACGCATAGAGTGACTTTTTTTTTCTTCACAGGAAAGGGAGAAAATATTTTGGGAGGAAAAAACTGAGGGCAGTGCATTATCAATTCGATGAACCGTGCATTGTTTTGGTTGAAAAAAAAGGAAAAGGGATGAATTTCATCACTGTATCCATAGGGAGACTTTTTAGGGAAGCAATTATTATTATTTTATCCTATACTGTTAAAAATTGAGCCCAAGACTAAAAATCTAATTCACAACTTTGTATTTTTCATACTTCATTTGGTTCTTCGAGCCGGATGTGTGAGAAATAGATCCAGACTTTTTAAACTGTACTTTTGTAGTGAGTTAGTTATTATCCCTTTTCTTCTCACTCGCGATTTAATGAAAATTAATTGAATCATGACTCCAGCCTCAAAAATCCTTGACAATATTCAACTTCACGTGAACTTTTTTTTTTATCCACTCACGAGAAACAATCCTTCACAGTTCAAAAAGCACACGAGAACACAATTAATCAATTCTCTCCTCTCATTTAAATTGAGATATTTTTTTTTCTCAAGTCCGTCTATGAAATTAATGCCAGTTAAATTGAATTTTTCCCAAGATTGCGTCAAACGGTGCTTAATTATTGCTCCTCGCCAATTGGCGTATAGAAATTTGTATTGCGGAAAATTAATTGGCTGCAATTTTACACATCATGATGTGTATTTTTTTACAGTGTACAAACTTTTCGCAATGAATCGTTGATTACGAGGGTGGCGGCAAATCCTCGAAAATCATTCCCCGACAGGGGTGCGGATTTCGCAATGGATGATGAGGGTGGGATAATAAAGTAGGTGCAACTCATTTATTCTGGCGAGTGCGTGACTCAAAACAAAAGCCAGCGAGTTCTTCACCCTCGCCTTTCTGCCCAGACACTCTCTTTCACTCTGGAGCGTCCATTGTTGGGACCGCAGCGCAATTCCTCGGGGAAATGCTGCTGGAAGGCACAGGAGTGCCTTAGAAAACGCACGAAGAGTGACAGAATAGTGGATTCTTGATGGAAGAAAAGACCTCTGACCTTCTCCTCAATTCGGACTGTGTCACTGCAACTCTGGTCCAAACTCAGGGTGCGCAATTGTCAGCGAATTCACTGGGGTTTGTCTGGAGTGTGGGAATCGAAAGGGGTTGGAAAAACACGAAGGGCGACATTCGGTATTTCAGCTCACACAAAAAAGCCATAATTATAAATGAGGTAGTGAATCGCAAAGGGCATTAACGATTCCTATACCCATTTTATTCCCGTTCCCAGCGGCGCAAAGCAGTTTTTTTTCTCTCACTTCCAGTGTAATTTCATAATAAGACCCCCTCCCTTCTCTTTATTCCCAACCGTGGCCAATTCACGTGAGCCTTGCTGACGGATAAAACTCGACAGTTTCGTTTTTTGAGGAGTAGATTTTCAATGGCAATCACAGGTAATGATCAAAAAGCAGCGATAAGCCTTCTGACACGAGAAAACTCACATCCCGAAAGGCTTCACAACGCAAAGGCATTTTGTGTTAGACAAAAAATAAAAACAATCATCGCAGTTCTTAAGCAGCATAATTCACAGATAAATCAATTCAACACTGAACTGCTGTTCTTAATTTTCTCCTCCCGAGCTGCCAATTTCAATCTGATGCAATAAAGAGCTGCACTCCGAAAGCCAATGCTTCTTTTGCCACCGAATGAGCTGAAGTGCGCGGAAAATCTCAACCTCGTTCGATCCATCTGACTGATGACGGTGTTTGTGCCTCAACTCCCAACTTCCGCGCCCTCCACCTTCAGGCCTGAGTATTGTAATTAAATGTAAATCAGATTAAACAGAAAATTTTCGTATAATACTTTTTCTCTCTCTCTCTCTCTCTGTCATGTATACGCGATATAGAATTATTTAAATGCGGTTTACAGGCGAGTCAAATGAGGAGAACGAGAAGACCAACTGTCATTGTTGTATTCTAATTATACTGATTAAAGTCCATTTTGCTGGGTGGCGCAAAATCTCATGAGCGGACAGGAGGAGGAGGAGGGGGGATTAAGTGTTGAGTGTATGGAGGAGAATAATTCAACAATAAAATTTTCAAGTCCACTCCTCGCATCTTTGGATTTTGCCATGAAATTGAGTGTCGCGACAAAAACTTAATATCATTTGATCTCATTATATTCCGGAGTACGCTCAACTCTTCACTCCCAATTATGCTAATTTCCCATCTCTCGCGTCCCGCTCAATCTTGCCATATTCGCGCCATGGGAAGAAGTGGTTGAAGCCCAGAGAGAGAGAGGATGATTAATCAGTGGAAATTTTATAATAAAGCAAAAGCAGGGGTCGTCATCATGGTGGTCTCTTGTTTCGACTCGCACACTTGAGACTTTGGTAAGGGAAAACGTACTCTTTTTCTCACCCCTCCGTCGAAAACCCATCTCTCTCTCGTCGACCAAAAGCATAATTACAGAGTGCATGTGAAATTGCGACTTGAACAGCACTTTTACCGAAATATTCTTCACACACACACATTCGTAGCATAATTATAAATTATAATGGCGAGTCGCTCGCCCTTAATTTCAGCTCCCCGATATTTTCACCCTTTGTTTGGTCACTTTTATTCACAGCAACGCATAGACGGTTTGAATTAAGGGGTAAGAATGAAATATAACGAAGGATTGGGTGTCAAATCAATTGCAACACACTGTCAATTTCGCATTAATTGAATGCGCCTTCGAGTACTCTTCGCGTGGCCCTTGAAATTGTATAAAATAATATATATCAAAGAAGCACAACTCTTTGAATTGCAATAAAACATATAAGGGGATCTGTTGTGAAAAGCATGAAAGTGCCACAGTTGAATCACGATTTTTAAGCACTTTTCAGTGCTGTGCGGATAATTTTTATCCACAAGAGTAAGAGAGCTTTTATCTCACAGGTATTGATTGATCGATTTCGATCAAGTCTCCTCAATTGTCCCAAATTCACCTCAAGATTCTTCTCAGCACAGCAAAATTCAGCATTTCTGTGTGGTGTTAAAAAAGCACAAAATACTATTTATCGTTTTAAATATTTGGAAAAATTGACTAAATTAAAAAGAATTAAATTAAAAGGAATCATTTGCACCAGCGATGACTGAAGATTCATACATTTTTATATGGCTAAGATCAACGCTGATTTAATACACTGCGAGAAATCCGCGAGTTAATTATTATAATTGGACAAAAGCGCTGGAATATCAATAAAGTAACATAATTTCTCAACATTTTGCCATTTAATATCTTTTCCCGTCGTTCTTTCTTCACTCTGGAGGACCCTGAATGCTATTCAGCGCACCTTTAATGCCTCAAAATTAGGGTAATTTAGCGAGCATTTAATCAAAATCCACAAATTAGCAATGGAGTTAAGACATTTTCGGCTCACTCTCTGCATATGTGTGCGCTTCTCATGAGAAAAGAAGGCCAGAAGAGCGCCAAGAAGTGCGTCTGAAAATAAAATTGGGTGAGCAATAAAAAATGATAAATGCCTGATTAAAAGACGTCAGGAGGCATTTTATGAATTCCAGACAGCATTGGTGCAAATTTTATTGCCATTAGATATTACACAGAGGATTCTTCTGTGTCGAATTAATCTCAATTTCTTACCCGTGAAGCACCCATTATTAGAGCCATGAGCTATTATGCAATCCCTGCAACAATTCACAACCCTTTCGGCTCTGGTGCTTCCTTTGGCCCGCCGCGCGGTTCCTTGTGCTAAAAGTGGGCAAGAGGCGTGGGGAAAGAGGGCATAAAACTCGACATAACTTAATGTACCTTTGATGATTTCAGCTGTTTGCTACATTTTGCCATTTATACATGTACAAATACATCGACAGGAGCATAAAAGGAACGCCATAATTAAATATTACCAACAATATACCATCGAATGTGTGCCTCAAATGTGTCTGGGCTATGTAAGAGTGGAAATTATATCGTGTAAAAAATACACACAGAAATGTGTATAATTTGAGGCCTATAATTATTTCGTGGCGGTAATTCGAAACCCTCGCGTTTGATTCACTCTTTTTTTTTCTTTCCATCACAAACACCACCAAAGGCAAATGTTGGTGGATATGGAGAAAAAAAAAATCCAGCATAATTCTCTACCCTGAAATGTCTCCCCCCCCTCCTCGCCACCCCGCCAGCACCTTTAAGGCTTATAATTAGCGATTAAAATATGAGATTAGTCATTATGAAATGCTATATTTCGCTCGGCGCGATGGCCACAGATGAAATTACGCGGCGAAGAGAATTCCACACAGGCCGAAAAAGAAGGACTGACCCTTTTGATGTTACAACTTAGATTTATAATTATATTAATTACTTGTTCACTTAATTACTTTCCTTTTTAGTGTAATTAACGCGCTCGAATGAGTTGAGATCCAGTAGGATTAAAAGTTCACCCGTAAAGTTCACCCAGAATGTTCGGCGAATTCAATCGATTGCCAGCTGAGAAATGTTTTTATTGCAGCCACTTTGGAATATTGCGAAGGAAAATATTCAGCATTTTATGCATTTGACAATGCTTCAACGCAATTTTAAAACAATTGTTGGAAATTTAGCTAAAAAGAAATGGGATTTTCAGGCAAAATCTTCACATATCTTCACAAGGATATATATTTTTTTGTTATTTCTGTAGCAATTTTATTTGTCTGTAAAAAAAATTTCAAAATCTTTATCGCAAAACTCATTCAGCAATGATACAAAACGCGTCATGGAGTTCTTGTGCTGCATAAGAAACAGCAAAATACGCTATAATTCTTCTGAATCGAATGATCATAAATCACATTATCTAA